ACCTCTGTGGCAAGTCAATAACTCGGGGGTGGGTGTTTGCATTCATAGGGTGTACATACGATGGAAATGGGTAGGCCAGGAAGGGCACTTGTTTAGTGCACTTGGCCCAGGTTAATTAGCCTTCGTGGGAACTCTACAAACCCACCTGAGGTAGGCCAAACCGCCACCCCAGAGGTCTCTACCGCGAACTGTATGCGCATCTTGAGAATACTGCTTGCACCGCACACCGAGGTACGCAGTTACGCAGTAGGATGACGCAGACTGGAAAGTGTTTCCACTTCGACGCAAGCAGGAATGTATGAAATTAATTTGGCCCTCCTAGACGTACCTAAGAAATTGGGATCAGGGGTGCCCTGCGACAGAAATTTATAGCAAGTATAGGTTTGCCTATGACAGCCCCCTTTGCTGTAAATAACAACAACACAAAAGCAACATGTGTCATTGGCAAAGGAGCCGAATGCCCGAGACAGAATTGCACCCGGTGAGAATAGTCCGGTATAATCTAGGAGTTACCACTTTCTCCCAAAAATGGCGTGGGCGTTTGTCCAATCGTCTACTGGACGGTACATGCTTCTGGGCCTGGTATGATGCAGAGGCAAAATGGTCCACAGGTTCGTCGTGCAGAATATATTTTCTTCTGATGCAACAATCACAGTACGAACTGAATTAATAATTTTTGTTCTCAATTCTCTGTTCTCTTCTGATTGTAGCCTGTAAGCTGCCAAACTGCTAATTAAAAATATGATAAAATCAATCAATCTATGGTGACTGTAGGCTCATAGCTAGTGCTCGGAAGCCGAAGACAAAAACAGACAAGAAGCAACTAAATCCCCCCTAATTTGAAGTTAAATTAACCGGATTAGTTTTTTTTTCATTAGTACTCATCAGTGGACTCCTATAGAACGTGAGCCTTAAGACGCAAACGATGTTGAGACGGTACTTAATGTTAAATAATCGTTCCTATTACGAGCTGGCAAGAGGCCGCCCGTCCAGGGTTATTTCGCAGGAGAAACGTATCCCCAAGACCTGTCAACCCGATTACTGACATGTTTGATGACACCACCAGGAAAGTTTTCATTAGTGAACTAAGCGGAAACATGCAAGATCTTCTGGTCAGTTTTTGAACTGCGCTTTCTAGGCTAATTGTCTGCCCGCATGAGAAAACCAAGAGGAAGTTTGTACCTTCACCAGACAAGAAGGAAATGACGAATCCTCGTCATCGAATCAAGCCCTTTTTAGGTAAGTGATGTTCATTACCTATTGAACTCATTCAGAAGGCCGCTGCTTAATCCCTGTCGATTGATGCAAACGTTTGGGTTGGTGAAGTTCAAATAGAAACCAATTACTTAGGAGTTACGGAAGTAGTTATATATCTGGTCCCTAGTGGTGGTTGCCAAGATAACTTATGTCCCTTAAAGATGGAAGTATATCTCTAACAATGGCTCCCTCCCATAATTTATGTAGACATTGGACTTTCTGAAACTTAAGCTCTCCATCTTCCCCTTCGCAGTGGCTCGGAAAAATAAGAACAATAAAAACTTGTTATTTGCAACGTGAAGCTGCCATTCCTGTTTATTCGTAGTGTAGAAAACTCCAAAGTGAAACCATATCCTAGGATTTATCATGTCAAAAAGGTGTTTTAGCAAATCTCTCGAAACTAGCCTTGGCTTCCAAATCTGTTTTAGTGGTTCCTCCTCCGAAAACTTTGTAGGATATATTGATTACCTCAACCCTAATCGAATCCGGTTTCCTTCTTTCAGAACTTTTCGTAAAACTACTAGTCTCGTTGTGTCCTTCTGTATTTTCTTAACTCTAGAACGTCCAACTATCAGGAAAATGCGGCCTTTTACATCGAAAATTTAAAGAAGAAGATGAAGAAGCTCTATAGCAAACGCAGCCTTTTTCTTGCTTGCTAAAGATTTCCAAATCTAACATGTCCGAACGCATGAAATGCTGACTGTCAGGTAGAAAATCCTATCAAAGTATGGTTAAGACTCTGGTAGGCAGACAACACACTCGATTAACCTGTTGAGACATGTCCACATTCCAGTGAGACCCATTCAACTACTGAATCCGAAGCAATGTGCTTCATTTTTTTATATTACCAGGTTACAGGTTACTCTATTGGAGTCTAGCTAAATATTCCAGATGGATAGGAGTAATACATGCTGCTCAAAAATTTGTAAATTTGTGGTCAGTTTATATGCAGGCAGCTATGGAAGGCTGGCCTGTCAAGGTGTGTTAAATAATATAGCATGAATCATTTGTCTAAAAAGCCGAATATTATTGACCGCATATTTCAACTTGTACTATTCCGACGAGAATTTATCGAAAGCCTACATATGTTCGCTACCTGCTCTTCTAATATAACACTGATAAGTGTTTCTGTCTTCCGAACCGGGAAATCCTTTAGTATTTGCTGAAATATTTTTGAGAATGTTAGTGCATGTGTTACAATTTTCGACGGCAACTATGCTTTCAGTCTGGCCTGCAGATTAGTTAATGACCGTCAAAGTGGCGTGTTTGTGTTAAAACAGTAGAAAAGGGTCAAAATAGTTTTAAAATTTGAGACATTGGATCCCCTAATAAGCCACGAGAAAATGTTTTCACAAAAAGTAAAGATTTTTGATTGGAGATGAGACTCAAAATTCGCTAGGCAGGATGCCAAATCAGACCAAAAACCCAAAGTCGGAGTCTTATCATTAACGACGGGCAGGGAAGAATCAATTGTCTCTATTGTCTTCAGTCTTAAGGCTGGTTTTCTGCGCTGTTTCTGAATAAAATCTTGGACATTGGACTAAGGGCTGGCGGTGACACTAATGTCTCCTGCTTCTCCCCTCCCTGGAGACATGACCTGAAAACAGGTTGCGAGTTTCACGGGCAGTAACAGACTGGTGATGAGAGGGCCTTTTAAAACCTTTAGTTTCTATTGTCAGTTTTTTGGTGGGCTTACCTACTTCCGAGTCTAGTCCCCTTTCGGCAAAAACGATAGAAGGTAGGCCTAATGGTGAATCCGCATCGGTTTGTCGTACCATTTTGACTGTGCGCTTAATGGTAGGCTGTGTAAAATGCTTTTTTTCTTCAAAATGCATTCCAGTTGTATTTATACAGGTAACTTAAGGCTCTCCACCACATGGCAGGAAGAGTTGCATGCAGATTTTGGGACATAAAGTCCTATAGCAAAAAGTGTTTGCTGTTGCATTTCAGAGGGCCCTCACCACAAGTAAACTAAAGTCAGTATTGATTGAATTTGCCAACAGTCCTCTATGGGAGGTAAAAATATCCTATTTCGTTCTTCCCAAGAAGATTGTGACTCAAATTCTAGTGGTTCACTTATTTGGTCGAACTATTTGCAATTTTATCAGGAGAAAACTCAAACGGTAGCTGTTTTGTGCTACCTCTTCCATGAAGGCGGGTATTTTGGGTAGTAATTTACTTTCAAAAAACGCATCTGAGAAAAACACCTGTGATGAGGGAACTTGGCTATTAAAATTGGGCGTCTTACCTCATCATATATCCTGAGTGGTAGGGGTAATTTTAGGAGAGCACGCGGATACTTGTACTCGGCCTCTGAAGGACTACCATGTTAAGTAAACAGTAAGAATGTAGAATTTCCTTAAAACTACACGTCAGCATTTCGATCACTTCAGCGGCTTTATGTGAATGATTATCAGCTATTATTTCCGTCGACAGAATGCCACTTTCTCCGAAGGTCTTTAGTTTGCTTTACCGCGCATTAGACTTTTGCTAACGCCAACAACACGGAAGCTTATCACAAAGTGCTAAGATGAGCTAACAACCTCGTACTTAAAATGTAAACAGACGTTGCCCAGTGCTGTGGCCACAGGGGGGAGGGGCATGATCCTCCATTTACTTGCCAGCTCCTTATAGTCGGCTTTTATATTGCTTTGAGGACAACTTTCAATATAAGCGATCTGTCAATTTAGCTCAAATTATGCCCTGCCAGTGCTTACTGCCCGTTTAACCTTAAAAGGTGCATCAAACTTCGTTCGGAAACAAAGTCCTGAATAGACGAGATGACGCTTGCATCCCTTGAGTGTTGAGTCACTTGTTGACTCTTCAGTAGAGCATAGTGCGCTAGTCTCTGCCTTACGTTCCTTGGGTCTTTTGAAACTTCAGCAGACCACTTCCTCAATGACCTTGTGAAAACCTCACCAAATAACTGTTATGCCTAATAGCCTGGTTGGTGCAAAAGAAACAAGGTGATTCCTGATAAACAAGTTCACGGTCTCAACTCCCGAATGCAGGCAACTTCTAACCAGTTTGTTTTGACGGGCCTCCCAGAGGCTTTATACTTATCCTAAAGACGAATGCTTAATGCAAATACTCCGTTTTAAATAAACTGATTTGGAAAGCTCATTAAAACTTTCAAGGATATTCAGACACTACTCGTAGAAAATAAATATGACTGAAAAGTATACGCTGCCTGTGCATAAGAAGGGTCTGTTAAATCCTTTCTGGTGAAAATGCGGGTATGTCGATCATCAAATCGTGGCATCAGAAAATTGGGTCTGCTCTTTGCTTAGAACTGCAACTGAAAATCCCGTATTCTATGCTTCCTGGACGTTTTTTGACCCCAGAAAAGGTCGCTCAGTAGCCGCCTCTAGGCAGTGGAGTCGCTTACTTCACCGACAGTCTCCGTTAAATGTGCAAAATAGATCACTAACAATTTGACTAGCACGTCGTATGCGGTACGAATGCACTTAGTCAGCTGTAACAACCCTACACTACGGGTGTCAGAATATATTCTAAGAGGTTTATTTTATGGATGAGGAATAAGGTGGGTTGAGCACCAGATCAATTGATTCATTGTTCTAAGAACAATAAATCAATTGATCTGGTGCTCGACCCGCCTTCTTCCTCATGCATGCAAATACCTGGATCGCGAACCTTCTCATTCATTCAGGTCTATTTTAGGTTTTGTCAAAAAAACGCAGCTATGTTACTTTTCAAAACATTTGCTTTTTGTAAACTGGCGACTACTTGCCTGAAGGAAGGGGGAGTTTGCGGGCGTCGGGTGTCTTCTGTTCGTTTTGCAGTAAACCACTGACTCTTGCGCAAGTGTCCACGTGGGAAGCGGCGGAGGAGAATGGGACGCTGGTAAAGACCTCGTTTGACATGTAGCTTAAATGCGAGTTGTCGGACTGCAGCATTTTCAGACGAAGGTTTGCGTCCTCCCTGTTCTCGAAATTTTCTAGGTAGAGAATTCCCGACAAGTTGGTGGCTGACTCGGGAACGGACATGGGAAGTTTAAATGCCCCCCTTGTGCAAAGACTCATAAACCGGCTCTCTAATAATAGTGAACACTTT